GAGAGAGAGAGAGAGAGAGCGAGAGAGAGAGAGAGAGAGCGAGAGAGAGAGAGAGAGAGAGAGTGTGTGTGTCTGTGTGTGTATTTTCTGACCTCGGACACGACTTCATGGGACATGAGTCTCTGAATGGCGGCGAGACACAGCAGGGTGATTTTGGGTTCTTTGGTTCCGCAGCCCATGAGGAACGGCTGGACCACCTCTGAACTGTTCTCCTTCAGCGCTGATGTTAAATCAACACAATAGTGTCTATTTATCTCCACATGGGTCATATCACACCATTACTTCAGCATCACACGCTCTTACCTGCCAGGATGTCTGTGTTTCTTGCAGCGATGGTTTTGATCTTGACGATGCCAGACTCTGCGGCCTAAAGACGGACAAACTCACGTGAGACTCTTTACAGGAAAACTTAACAGTCTTAAGTCGCTGGGGGATATTTGTAGCAATAGCCAAAAATACATTGTATGGGTCAAAACTATCGATTTTTCTTTTATGTCAAAAATCATTAGGATATTAAGTAAAGATCATGTTCCATGAAGATATTTAGTCAATTTCCTACCGTAAATATATCAAAACTTAATTTTTGATTAGTAATATACATTGCTAAGAACTTAATTTGGACAACTTTAAAGATGATTTTCTCAATATTTAGATTTTTTTGCACCCTCAGATTCCAGATTTTCAAATAGTTGTATCTCAGCCAAATATTGTCCTATCATAACAAACCATACATCAATGGAAAGCTTATTTATTCAGCTTTTAGATTATGTATAAATCTCAATTTAAAAAAAATTGACACTTAAGACTGATTTTGTGGTCCAGGGTCACATATACTGCTAAAAACAAGGCGCTACAATACAATGAATAAAAACAATACATACTTTTGTATCTTATTTTTTCAATAAATCCACTGTTTCTGCCTCAGAGTAAAAAAAATAAAACAGCTAATTGTGTGAGAAAATTTAAATAAGAAATAAAAGTAAAAACTGTGAAACAAAAAATAAAGGTGTAATTCCTAAATAAAAATGTGCAAAATGACTTTAAAGTTAGTTCTCATAAACAGGCTTGGAAACAGCTTTCACCAAAAAATATTTAAATATGATATGTATTTTTAAATAAATAAACAATTAAAAAGTATTTTTAAAATATAATTAATAAAATAACAAAATTATAATTTTTTTAATATGAAATATTATAAATATTTTTTTTAATATTATTAAAACACTGATATTGGCTAATAACTGTTATGGTGCCAATATACTAGCAACTAAATAAACAAAGACTAAAACTTAATAAAACTATACAGGCATATTAAAAATAATAATAATAGTAAAAAGTAAGTAAAGTAAGGAAAACACAACAAAATGACTAACATTTTCAAATATTAAAATAAATCTAATTCAAATATTAACAAAAAGTACAATAGTATATCAATGATATTAAAATAACAAAAAATAATTTTTGATTATAAGATATAATAAAAATATTTTAAAATATATAATTAAAACACTGATTTTGGCTGATCACAGTTATGGTGCCAATAAAATAGCAACTAAAACTAAAATAAAAAAAAACTATATAGTCATATTTAAAAAAAAAAAAAAATCATAAAAATGACAAAAACAACAAAATTATTAAAACTAACTAAAAATAAAATCAAAACAGAAAATATAAAAATAAAATTTAATTCAAAATATTACTCAAAAACCATCATAGTAAATCAATGATACTAAAGTAACAAAAAAGTATTATTATTATAAATATTTTTACCAAAACATTGATATTGGCTGACAACCAATAATGGTGCCAATAAAAGTAAAAAAAAGAAAATTAATAAAATAAAAAGTAACAACAATAGTATTAATTTTCCCTTTGGACATATATTCTGAAACTTATTAAAGACTTCTCTTCTCTACTTTTCATGATTTGTTTCAATCCAGATGAATAAAATCAAGTCCCTTGCTTCATAAAAACAGAATCTTTGGTTTCATTCAGAAATGTCACATTACAGAATTAAAACGTGCTGTGAATGCAGTTTCATGTTGGCTTCAAACCGACAGCGTTTTAGAAGTCAAACTCCAACACGCTTCTGGATGTGCACTTTATTTTACATATGTATATGTGTAAATACATATACTTACACTGTATTTACAGTGTTCCTACCTACGGATGTTCTGGTCATATAAGGTAACTACATGGGGTAGGGTTAGGTTTAGGGTTTATTGTTACTTTACTTGTTACTTTCTGGCAACAGTAATTAGTTACACTACTAGTTACATTACTTTTTCTTCACGCCCCACAGAAGTTGTAACTGTGTATCTTCCACATAAAATTCTTACTAACAACATATTTCTGCCTCATCATTTGACCCAAATCCACATTGGATCGCAGTCAGAAGTGATTACAAACACTCAATAGTGATTGATAGAGACAGTGTTGTATTAATCTCATTAACTGTCATGCGTAGCTTGAAGCTAATTGTAATTTCTCCGTTACCCATATACGATTATATTTCATTATGTATTTTATCAAATCACATAAGTTTGTAAGAAACTCTTTAACTTTCCAAAAAGATTTGTAATTATAGTAATATAATGTGCCACATGCTGATCAGAGGGAATGTAATGCCAGAGTAAAGTAAAGCCACAACTTACACAACAGTGCTCAGATCATCTTTTTTCCTGACAAAATCAATATAATGTTACAGTATGTGTAAATACATATACTTACACTGTATTTACAGTGTTCCTACCTACGGATGTTCTGGTCATATAAGGTAACTACATGGGGTAGGGTTAGGTTTAGGGTTTATTGTTACTTTACTTGTTACTTTCTGGCAACAGTAATTAGTTACACTACTAGTTACATTACTTTTTCTTCACGCCCCACAGAAGTTGTAACTGTGTATCTTCCACATAAAATTCTTACTAACAACATATTTCTGCCTCATCATTTGACCCAAATCCATATTGGATCGCAGTCAGAAGTGATTACAAACACTCAATAGTGATTGATAGAGACAGTGTTGTATTAATCTCATTAACTGTCATGCGTAGCTTGAAGCTAATTGTAATTTCTCCGTTACCCATATACGATTACTAACAACATATTTCTGCCTCATCATTTGACCCAAATCCATATTGGATCGCAGTCAGAAGTGATTACAAACACTCAATAGTGATTGATAGAGACAGTGTTGTATTAATCTCATTAACTGTCATGCGTAGCTTGAAGCTAATTGTAATTTCTCCGTTACCCATATACGATTATATTTCATTATGTATTTTATCAAATCACATAAGTTTGTAAGAAACTCTTTAACTTTCCAAAAAGATTTGTAATTATAGTAATATAATGTGCCACATGCTGATCAGAGGGAATGTAATGCCAGAGTAAAGTAAAGCCACAACTTACACAACAGTGCTCAGATCATCTTTTTTCCTGACAAAATCAATATAATGCAATATTTCTATCTGCTTTTCCATATGCCAAGCTTGCCTGCTGCACTGG